AGGAAGCGGGTGCATGATGTCCTGCTGGCAGAGAAACACAAGCTGGAGATAGAAATCAAGAATCAGCCTCTGCCCAAGCCCAAAGATGTGGCAGAGGAAGAAAAGTCATCGCTGGGAGGGTACACAGTGAAAATAAACAATTATGGTAGGATTATTTTTCTAGCATCTCTCTGAAGAGAAGGCCGGGTGGCATTACTGTGAGTTAGAGTTGCCACTTATCATTATAGCAAAACCTTTTTAAGTTTTTATTTCATACTGGGGACCCCACTTTAAAGGTACCACGTGCTTACCCTGCCATGCCAACCCCAGTGTGTGTGATGGTCCTAGTGCGATGCATTAAGGATCCCTGGTGTACCAGCTGGTATTTTTCCATTACCTAATGCTTAGCAGAAGTGAAGGAGTGAGGTTTGGCTTCTCTGCTTGCCATGTAGGTGAGAGGAGAGGGAATTGCTCAAGATGCAGGGAGTAGGGGAAAAAGTGGGTCAAGGAAACTGCAGCAGGAGCAGACAGCTGCGTCCAAGTCCCCCTGCACAGATGGGGTTGCTCTCCTTTCACCTCAGCTGATGCATGTTTTTTCTCAGAATTTGCAGGAATTAGGGAACAGGGCTACATGTAAAGACCTCCTTTTGCTCTCGAGTTATTTCTGAATAATTCATGTTTTCCCCTATCCCTCTGAGGATTGTTTCAGTAAGGCAGAGTTCGTAGTCATTCTAGGGGAGTTTGTGGAGTGAGTTGGAATGGAATGTATGAAGCTTATGGAGGAAAAGTAGAAGTTAATCTCTGTTTTTTCACTTGCAGGTTGGGATCAGTCAGATAAGTTTGTGAAGATTTACATCTCTTTAAATGGAGTCCAGAAGCTTCCAGCTGAGAATGTGCAGGTGAATTTCACAGAGAGGTGAGTTCATCTGGTTGTACCACAACAAGAACGCTGTTTGAAATGCAGGAGTGTTGGATAAACCCTTACTCCCCACTCCCTTTTTCTTTTTTAAAACTTGAGCTGTATTAGCTCTTAGTAGCACTCAGGACATACTCTTAAGTACAGCTCTCCTTAGAGGGTATCAGGATGTTTTCATTTTGCAAGTGCTTGTTGCACCTCACCACGCTCGACAGGACATCTAGTGTCAGCCCTGGTTTTTTGATGCTGATAGAACTTAAATATACATTAAAGAAATCTGCCTTTCCAAGGTTGTAGGAGTTTAGTAGAAAGGACCCTGAAGATCTTGATTTGTTGTGAAGTCAGGATTTGTCCTTTTAATTTCTTAGTGTTAAAATTCAACTGAACATTTGAGAGCCCTGGGAAGAAACTAATCCAAGCCTGTTGACCTGCTTTCCCAAGAAATAGATCTGCTAAAGGGTTTTCAGACATTGCAATGATTGGAATATTTGTGCCTTTCCTCCCTCCACTTTCTGGTTCCAGGTCATTTGATCTACTGGTGAAGAACCTGAATGGAAAGAACTATACCATGACCTTCAACAACCTCCTGAAGCCCATCTCTGTGGAAGGCAGCTCTAGAAAGGTCTGTTTGAGACACCTTGTCTGTTAAGAGATAATTTAGGTCCCTCACAAAGTATCACGTTCATTGCCTGATTATTTCAGGAGACTCGGTCCTAACCTTCAGTCTCTCCCTTCTACTGTAAAGTCTCTGCACTGTGAATGTGATTCTTATTAATCTGTGATTGTCATAACTGTGGAATTAGACTCTGGAATCCTATTTCAAAAGATTGTGTCTGGATATACTATGCTTTTTTTTTTTTTTTAGTAGCTCTCCAACAGGATTTCAGAAATAATTAAGCAGAAAATTCCACCAAGCATCCATTTGTATCTTTTAAATACCTCTGAGAAATTTTCTGCAGTTTTAAGGTCTAAGAGATTTGTCTGCAGAATGAAATCTTGGGAAGCCTAAAGAGGCTTAATTCCCAAAGCAAAGTCTGAGACATGCTCTGCCTTGGTAAGGGTGTATTGCTCCAGAACTGAACACTGGTGGTGTGGTTTAACCCCCACTGGGGTTAATTTTCCAAGGGAAAAATTCACTCTATCCCAACTGAAACCAGAACATTAATAACATTTTACTGCTGCTGACTGCAGCTGGTGATATCCACGCTCTGCTACTTGTAGCAACTTTCCAGGCTTAGGGAGGTGTCGCACGCACACCGGTGTGTGTTCTCTGCTGCACGTGGTGAAGATGCTGCACGATGGGAAGAAATGATGGTTCAATTTGAAATTGCCCTAAAACTAGGATAGAGTGAAATTGTAACAACTGAAATAAATGAAGGTGATGCTCTGGTGATTTTTTAATATGGGCTGAAAGTGAGCAGTGGTCACGTACTTGCGAAGCAACAGCACTCTTGTCTGCTGTGGCAAGTGGGAGTTCTTTGCGAAATTTAGGTCAGGGTTGCAGTTAAACAGGCTTTGTTTGTAACTTGCAAACATGCTGCAAGATTAAGCAATACCCTAAAACTAGTTTCTCATCCTTGGAGAGAGAAATTGGAAGAGCGTCTACCTGAACTTGGTGTGCTTGGAGAAGTCCAGTACAAAGTCTAGACCCTCTACAAGGCAGCCCTGGGTACCTGAGCATCCCGAGAATCACTGAACGGTGTTTATGCAGCACTTAATGTTCTTCTGTATTGGTACTGTAGTTCTGTACTAGAATTCTAATTACCACACCATTTAAATTGTTCACAGTGAGGTTAATACTTCGTGCCTTAAAGCTGAGCACATGCTATAATTTTTGTAGGCTACATAATAATGAATAACTGAGAGAAACCTTTCAGGAATTTGTGCATGTGGAAGAGGTTTATGTTATAAGCTAATCTTATTCATTGTAACCAGGATCCCTTCATGTAGCATTCTAAACTCATGCCTTGGTGTTCACCATACAGATAAAGACAGACACGGTCCTTGTGATGTGTAAGAAGAAGCGGGAGGAAAAATGGGATTGTCTCACTCAAGTGGAAAAAGAAAGCAAAGAGAAAGAGTAAGTGTCCTTTCAACCCTCCATCTTGTTTTCCATTTCTTGTTCTCCAGGTGTTAAAAAGGAGCCAGTGAACCTCTGGAGGCTGGCTAAAAAATGGGAAGCAGAAGAAAAAAGCCTTTTGGGTTGTGAATGTGGTCACTTAAAGAGCTCAGTGTATTCGTTTCTCTGGTTTTATTCGCCTGTCACGTAACACTGTTATTGGCACTTTCTGTGTCTGTTCTATTTCACATCTGCTTCTTAAAATTAATGTAGGGCAGTGCCTCCAGGTCATGTTTGGTGCAAAATGCTTCCCGTCAAAATGCTCTCCCGCCCCACAGGACATCTCTGGGTACACCAATCAACTTGGCTCTTGGTTTAAGGATGCTCCTTAGGATTCTCCCTGCTTGGAACCTGAGTGAGACCGCCATGATCTAAAGACTTAACCAAAGCAAAATCCTCACTGTTACCAGGATATTTCAAACAAATGTTAGCATTTAATTTTTTGCCCAGAGTTGCTAGATATACCTGACCTCCTCATGTGTGTGTCTTGCAGGAAGGCTGCCTACGACACGGCAGATCCCAGTGAAGGGCTCATGAACATTTTAAAAAAGATGTACGCAGAAGGGGACGATGAGATGAAGCGCACCATCAACAAGGCCTGGGTGGAAAGCAGAGAAAAGCAGTACAAAGGGGACATACCAATGGATATCTGAAAGTACTCTGTGAGCCGCCTTAATACCGATCTTCCATGTGAGACACGCTGTGCTGCAAAGATCATCGTTTATACGACCTTCTTCCAAGCAAAGACAGTCATTTTCCATTTCAGGTTGGAGAAAATATTTAAATAAAATAGCTTATAAAGCATTTCCTTCAGTCAAGTGGTTCACGGTTTCCTGAGGAGTGGAGCATAGGTATATCCTTACCTCTCCTTGAAAAAGCATCTCAGATGAGTGGGGAGTGCTGTGAGACCAAGAAGAGAATATAAAAGTAAAGGAATCCTAAAGTAGGATGTATCAAGGCCTCTGTTGCCAGTACACATGGCAGCTGTACCCATGTGGTTGTCGGGACTAATGTCATGCTCACTACACAGGGTGTGGCTTTTTGATTAGATGTGGGAAAGTGAAGAACTGAAGAAAGCAGAACCACTGTGCTGTGCGCTTGATACTTAAGCAGAAACAGTGTGGTGTTAATCCTGTGGTATTAAAATTTAATAATTACTCTCAGAAATTAATTACTGGCTGTTTAACCTCTTAGGAATTTTGGAAATGTAAGCAGCTCTTTAGTGCCAACTCTGAGCTCCCTGGGGTGTCTCTGAGGTGGCATCAGTCACAGGAGAGCAGTAAGCTGTTGATGCTGGACAGGGAGCTTGCCCTGGCTCTAGCAGTGTGTGAAGAAAAGAGGGATCAGCTCCACTTTGCCTATCACCTCTCAAGGGTTCTAAGGAAACAGAGTAAGAAGTGTATTCAGATAGCTTATACTCCAAAATGTGACTCAGCTGGGGGTCATGGGTTGCTGTCACTTTGCTGCTAGTGGTATTTGGCCTCTTTACTGCCACCTCTCAGCCCCACTGCTGGACAGAGCAGCCACTGCCCCTTTATTGCATTGCTTTGAAGAAGAGTACAGGGCAAACATGAGCTTAGCAGCAGGCTTGTTACTGTGTTTTTCCTGCTTCCTTCTCATGAGGCTCCCAAGGGCAGATTTGTTGTTACCTTAGGACTTAAGGAAGCCACTACTCTATTGTTAGGGTCTGGACTAGGACTTACTTGCTACCTTGTTTTTGAAGCATTGGACCAAGCGCTGCACTACAGACAGGAGAGAAATGGTAGCACGTTGTAGTTTCTAACAGGTCCTTTAGCCACTTTGTCTCGTTGTCAATATAAATATATATTGCATAGCAAGAGTATCTAGAGGCCATGTTTTATCCCCAGTCTGTGCTCACCCTTGTTTGTGGCAGAATACCACTGCCCTGTTGTGCAGTTTCATTTATGCTTTTACCCAGATTACTGTGAACTTACCATATGGTGGCAAAAAAAAAACCAACTTAAATGAGCCTTGTGCTGTATGTCTTTATTTCTAACACTGCCCATACCACAAACCTCAGCTTAGTTCTGCAACCATCGGGTAGGGAACTTCCTCAGAATCAAACTGCCTCTCACACAGACTGATTTAGTGCAGTTGTGCTGCTTGTCAGCTGATACCAACTGCACTCCAGTGAGGTTAATGAATCAGCACAACTTCTTGTCCTTTCCCTTATTTATTTGATGTTGATGCTGGACTCTCAGGCAGGACAGTCTCGCTTTAATTGCTCACATGCACAAATGAGCCTGCTTTGTGTTTTCTGCCTGAATGCACATCCCCTGGTGATCACCACATGGCCCTCTGCACCCCGGACACTTGAGCGTGGTCAGCAAAGTGGCGGAAAACGATCCTGCTGAGCCTCCAGCGCCGCCTCACGCCCCGGGGGCGGGACGTCAGGACACACCTGTTGTGGATCCTCGAAGGGCAGCTGTCCCGGGGCAGGGCCGCGATCTCCTTGTCAGCCACTTCCTAAAGCAGAAGGCCACAGCACTGAGTTAACTTGTGCAGGTACCACCACAAGCTTCTCTACCACCTCACAAGTGAACTTTGCTGTCTTCCTCACTCAGCCCTTTCGTTCTGGGCATCCCAACAGTGAATGTAAACTGATCCACATGGAGACCCCAAAGTTAGCCTTATTATACAGACAGAACAATCTCAAGCCACTAATTATAGTCAAATCAGCTTGTCTCTGTCCATGTGCCAGGGTGGGCTAGCCCTTTAATAGACCCAAAATTTAACCTTATTACAGACTGAACAACCTCAAGCCAGGAATTATAGTTAGTCAAAAATCCACTTGGCTTTCTCCTTGTTGCAGGGTGGGCTAATTCTTTAAGATAAGCTGAATTAAATACGTGTTTTTTATTAACTACCTGCCCAGGTAACATGCTTTGATGTCAGTAAAAGGGGTCACATACAGTGTACTTTGGAAGGTGTTACAGGGCTTTCTTTTGGTTTTTTTTCTCCAGTGTTTCTTGGTTTTGTCCTGTAAGAACATCCAACAGCAGCCAGACTTACCAAGAGAATGGTACAATCAATATATAAAAGCAAATTCATACATTTTGTCTCTCAGGATGTTTTAAGTGTAAAAGGATCTTGCCATAACTAGGTATAGCCAGATCCAATATATACAGGAATAATCTGATACTTGCAAATGTTTTTAGTGCTTAGTAAGGCACTCTGCTGAGAGCACAGCAGTGAATATGTGCATTTTTATGAACAGATCCAACAGCCAGATCTGATGCAGCCTTCACATGCCTGTAGCTCAGGCAAGAAGTAAAATTAAGCATTTCTAATTGATCAAATTGCTGGTTTTGGCTGGATGAGGCTTCCAGGTCTTTAAATAAGCAAAAAAAAAATAAATCTAAAGTTTATTTAGGAAGCTGTAAAAGTAATCATGTAACATCACATATTATCAGAAATAAGGAAAATAGGTTTGTGAATGTATAGTAGTGACAGCATGAGGAGGAAAAAATGTGATTTCACTGTATTTAGTGTTACATGTGCTGCTTACATGAGAAGCACTTTTCAAAAACCCCACAACCCAGCACACACATCCTCCAGTCAGGCGAATAGTGTTGTTGTACACACCCCCAAAAGGCTGAGGTAACTGCAATATGACATTCTGTGCTCGTGAGCTGGGCAAACACAAGCACTTGTGACCTGGCACAGCCATCTGGGTCTATAAAGTGACCCAGAGCACATCACAGCAGTGAGAGCCACGCATGGGCTTGTGCCCTGGCCGGGCACAGCTGTGGGGTGGCTGCTGGTACCTGCAGCTCCTTGGGAAGGATGGTGTTCTTCCGGATGGCGTTGATCCGCAGCCTCTCGTCGGCGTACTCGTAGGCCAGCCTCCTCCTCTTGACATCCCGCAGCATCCTCCAGTCCACGTAGTAGGTCCGCACCTGCCCTGGGCAGGGTGAGGGGAGAACCTAGTTCAAGAAATGAAGTTTGTCACACCTGCCTGCTGCATGTAGTTTGCCCCAGTTACATAAGAATTGTTATTTCCATGAATCATGGAATGCTGTGAGTTGGAAGGGACCCACAAGGATTATTGGGTCCAATCTCAGCCCTGCACAGACACCCCAACGATTCCCCCCATCCCTGAGAGTGTTGTCCAAACGCTCCTGGAGCTCTGGCAGCCTTGGGGCCGTGACCACTGCCCTGGGGAGCCTGGTCAGTGCCCAACCACCCTCTGGGGTAAGAATCTTATCCTGAGATCCAACCGAACCGTCCCTGGCACAGCTCCAGCCCTTCCCTGGGTCCTGTCACCGGTCACAGGGAGCAGAGATCGGTGCTGCCCCTCGTGAGGAAGCTGCACACTGCCATGAGGTATAAGAAGGGTAATGTGTGACCCAGCTTGGCTGTCGAAGGCGCCGAGGAGTTCACGCTAAGGGAGGCACAGCGAGCCCCAACTTACACCGAACCCACGTTACACCCGACCCGCGCAGTCCGGGCCGCCGCGGGGCTGGGGCCGAGCCCGCAGCCATCTAACAACACCCGCAGCCCCCCTGCCCGCTGCCCGTTGCCCCGGCCGGGCACATGGCCCCGAAGAAGAGCGGGGAGGGAGGGAGGGATGGATGGAGTCGCTCTGACCTGCCGAGCCGCCCTCAGCACCCAGCCTAGCGCGGCCATCTTGTCACCGCGCCGCGCGTGCGCGCGGGCATGGCGGGTGCGGCCCTTCTGGGCGCTCCCCCCTCCCGGGCGCTCCCCCCTCCCTGCCGCTCCATCCCCGCAGCTCCCCCCCCCTGCCGCTCCATCCCCGCAGCTCCTGATGGTTCTGCGGCTGGAAGCGTGATGAGAGCCCCAGCTGGTCAGAGGGCTGTGCTGTGTGCCCCAGAGCTGCTGTCAGGGCTCGCTGGCACCACTCGTCATTAGAGGAAGCTGGCTCTGCCACAGAAACGTCAGGGTCCGGCCGCGGGTGGAGCAAAGGGATCCCGGGTGTGGGGAAAGGCTGTAAAAGTGACAATGAAAGCTGTCCTAGCAGGAAAATGTGATGCAGAGGCATCGCCCCGTCGTTGTGGGGTCTCTGTGTGGAACACCACGTGTCCTGCCCGCCTGTCCCTGCTGTGGGACAGGTTATCTGCCAACAGCTTTCCTAAAGGCTGGGTGAGTTTTGTTTCTTGGGAGGTTTTTTGCTTGCTTATCGGCTAGAAATATTCCTAAATTTCTATCTGTCATTTGTGGGGGTTTTGGTTTTGTTTTGTTTTTTTCAACTCATGAATTTTGAATCATAGAATCATGGAATATCCCGAGTTGGAAAGGACTCACAAGGACCTGACCTTGAACAGGACACCCCAACACTCCCACTGTGTCCCTGAGAGCGATGTCCAAACACTTAATAAACTCTGTCAGACTTGATGCCGTGACCCACTTCCCTGGCGAGGCTGTTCAGTGCCCAGCCACCCTCTGGGGGAAGAGCCCTTTCCTAATACCCAAACCTTTGGGTAAGTTACAGCACTTTACAGAAAAAATTGAATAATCATAACCCCAAACAGTGAAAAACATGGGAAATTCTGCTTCTGTTGTTCTTATTCAGTGAGAGAAACTGTCCTGTTCACTGACGGGGACTTACGCAGCATTTTAAATAAGTCCTGATTTTAGGGAGAACATGCATTAAGGTTTTGATATTGAATTAATAGTTTTGATTGAATTTTCCATTTGTATCAGCTGTTTCCAAAAAGTCATTCAAGAAGCTAGATTCTCTCGGTTTGTCAAGCTGCTTGTTGTCTGCATGCCCAGTGTTTAACTGAGATGCCTGGTATATTACTCTGTGCAGAAGTATGGAATAATCTGGAAGAACTGGCCAGGTTGGCAGGCTGATTCAAATTTTATTATCCACGTCAACAGCTTCCCCAGGAACTTATTCACCTGGGCTGATGGTGATGAGTGGAAAGAAATAATTTTTAGTGCTGATAAAGTGGCTAATTCTCCACAGCCTGTTCTGCCAACCCAGGTGTTAACTACCCTGAAGATGTTTGTCCTTCAGAGGTGCCCAGCCGAAGCCACTAATACATGTTTACAGAGCACTAAGCTAGCAAAGGGATAGCTATTTTCAATTCTCATTGCTTTACTTGGGTCTCATGAGCCCCAGAGAGGTGAAATGCTGCTCACTGGCCTCATTTCCGAACTCCCTGTGCTCCCTTCATATCCTGAGGAGTCAAAAGGCTGCTTTAAACTAGTGTGCGAGTCTGTCTATGGAGGGGAAACTGCAGCAGGAGAAAGAGCTCAGCCTGCCCAGCCTGTGGGCTGCAACCCTCTGTGAGCATCCAGTTCAAACCTCCGACTGTTTATGACCCTGGTTCTGGGGTGTTCGTGCATGGCTGGCTTGAAAGCAGGTTTCTGGTGTTTGCAGGGAGAGAATTTCAAGCTTTGGTCCCTGATGTAATAGCAAGTCTGTTACCATCTTTCCAGTTGGTAAAAGTGATCAGTGGAATATCATCCCAACAAATAAAGCAGGGAGTGTGATCAAAGGGTATTTGGATATTACAGCACTCATTCTTTTTTACAATATTTCGTTTCACTTCCCCTTTCGTGTTTGTTCGATGGTCCAGATGTGGGAGGAACTGGTGAGTGTGGGAAGAACTGTTTCTTCAGCCAGGGCTGAATCTCTCCCTTGCTCACCAGCATCACCTGTGTGATTGGCACTTCCCCAGCTGAGATTGGCAAGGGCTAGTGACGTGCATTGATATTCCTTGGGCTGCTGCCTTCAGCTCCCTCAGCACAGCTTCTGGTTGTAGCAAAGCAAAGGAACTGATCAAAATCTGGGAGTTTGTTAGCTAAAAACTGGGCTCAGTAACGTATGTGGTTAAAATAATCGTGTGGGTACCTTAATGGTGCCTACAACATGTATATTGCTTTCTTTTAAGTTCTCAGGGGAGGGGTTTTTTTTAAGTATTGTGCTGGATAAGTACAGTGTTGTGTTTAACTACTGCTGAGTTTAAAAAGTGTTTTCTTTTTACTTTCTGATTTACTCCACCTGAATTTCTCATCATACTACAAATGTGCTTGTCAGTGTGGGAGTCTCAGTAACATTCCTGGGATGTTTTCAGCCAGATTTACCAGGCTGGAGAGGCTTTCTGGCTTTTGACTAGTAGCAGAGCATAAAACAAATAGGAAATGGTTCTTCCTGTTGGTATGCAAGACTGATACTGAGTAGGGGAATTGCTCCCAAATCCAGCGTGCTCCTTAGGCAGTTTGTAGGAGGGAAACACCCCGAGGCTTCTATTGGTTCCTTTCATCTGGTCCCTGGGAACTTAAATTCATGGAGGAACTGCTGCTGGTTTGCAGCTGGAGTGGGAACAGGAGAGGAAAGTGACTTTTCAGCTTGCTCAGCTTACCTTTCAAGTGGTGGCTGCATCAGAAGGGCTCTGAACCAGACAGCTGAAAGTACTTGAAAGGTAAGAGAAAAGTATTTTTATTTCCTTTGAGATTCCTGTTGTTTGTTCTGAGTGAAAAATCTGGCCAGTTTCTGTCTGACTTCTCATAGCAGATGCCCTCTAAGGCTTTGAAAGCCTTACATAAACATCAATAATCCTGTATTATGGGCAGGTATTATTACTACAAAACATACAGTAGTATTTAATGTCACTGCATTTTGAAGGGCTTCAGCTTTCCCAGGTTGTCTCCTCCAACCATATGAAACCACACATCTGCTAATGTAAATGGGAGTTTTGCCTTGGGATCTAATGGAGCTAAGGTTGAATTGTTTTAGAATGCTTGTTCCTAGTAATTTCCATTTTGGACTCTGAGTTCTGTGTGACACTATTTCATTTAAAAGCCCTTCCATTTGTCATGAGACTGTACTGCAATTTGACCACACTTACCTCTCATAATTGCAACAGACACTCTTTGGTTATTGCTTGATATTTTCTTATCCAAAAGCTCTTCTGTGCCTTCTTGTGCACCTTTTCTCAGACAGTGCTGAAAGCCAGTAGAAGTTCAGACAAGGGGGAATGGCTTTAAGCTGAAAGAGGATAGGTTTAGATTATATATTAGGGATAAATTCTTCCCTGTGAGAGTGGTGAGGCCCTGGCACAGGTTGTCCAGAGAAGCTGTAGCTGCCCCTGGATCCCTGGAAGTGTCCAAGGCCAGGTTGGACGGGGCTTGGAGCAACCTGGGCTGGTGGAAGGTGTCCCTGCCCGGGGCAGGGGGTGAAACGAGATGAGCTTTAAGGTCCCTGCCAATCCAAACAATTCTAGGATTCTATGAGTCTAAGTTCTTTACCACATAAAATGAAATTCATCACTATTTTCACAATAAAAGTACCTTATTGATTATACTACTTATAGTAAAAATGTCTATCACTGACTAAATAAAATTGATCCAATACAGGAGTTACAAAATTTTTGAGCCGTGCAGGCAACAGAACAGAGATTTGCTTCAGGAAAGACTGAGTTAAACTGGATGTAACAGAAGGGAGCTGAGTCATTTGTAACAAAATGCATATTTATAGTAATGAGGAAATATGCAAATAGTGTTAAACCTCTCTGCACATGAATATGTAGGATTTCAGAAACAATCTCTCAGTCATGTATGAACAGTCAATACATCTTGCTTATCAGATGTTGAAGAAGAATTGGCATGAAAGAAGAGGTAAATATAAGGATGAATCTAGAACCACAGTACCTCCCTGGCTGATTACAATTCTGTTTTTCTATTAACCATTTCAAATAATCCCAAACTTCTGTAGTGATAGATAAGGCTCATACAGTCTGGAAGTAAAAAAAGGTAGACAAAAGAAACAACCCTGCTAAATAAATGGTGTGGTGTTTTTTTGTTGGCAGTCATTGATAGCATTCATTGCAATCATTAATTTAATTAAGATTGCATAATATTGAAAACAGAATGCTGGCCGGCTTATTACAGCAGCTCCATGGAATGGCTTCTGTGACCAATCCCAGAAAAAAAATCTGATGCAGAGCTTTCTAAAGCAGCTGAGGTTTGGACAGCAGAGTAGTTTCACCGCAGCAAATAAAGGCAAATAATCCATTTGGTTAAACTAAATTATACTTATGGAGAGTCTGTAAAATTAGTAGTTTGTCTCAGCTGAATGCCTCACTGAGAAAAGCATGTATCCTGTGACTACAATCCCCCTTTCTGTTCTCAGTCCCATCTCCGTGTTACCTAGACACACAGAAGACCTATCCGCCAAACCTTCAGGCACTGAGCTGTAGGATGGAAGACATGCAGAATTGGATTATTGGAATCTTTCACACAAATACTGCAGGTTGTCTCCACTTTTGATCATCCTGTGCTTTCCTCTGCAAAGGCTGGAAAGATATGAGCAAGGCTTCTTCCATCCCTTCCCTTAGGATGATATTCTGTGCCTGCTAGATCTGACTGTTAGGCACTCTTTCCTAAATTATTCCTTTCCCTAATCTGCTATTATTGCCAGTTATATGTATGACATGATATTCTCTACAAAGAGTCAGTTAAACCCACTCCTTTTAACAGCAGGGAAAAATCTCTTTACTGCATGATGAGGAAGCCAAAAGAAGCTGTTCTCTTTTATTATGCTTGACAGAAATGCTTATGTTTAGAGGTTTTTCCTCCTGAGTGATCTCTAAGCCCAGGAAAATCTGAGATCAATTTGTGGTTTCCATGAAACCCTAATTAGTCATGACATCATGGTACAACCCAGAATGTCATTAATCACTTGGTGCTGAGTAAAGGGATTTTGTGCATGTGTCTGTCTGTTTGGGAACTTCATCTAGAATTTATAAGGTTGGAAAAGCCCTCTAAGCTCAAGTCCAGTCATTAGCTCAGCACTGCCAAGCCCATCACTAAACCATGTCCAAGAGCCACATCTACACGTCTTTTAAATCCATCCCGGGATGGTGACTGCACCACTGCCATGGGCAGCCTGTGCCAGTGCCTGACTACCTTTTCAGTAAAGAAATTTTTCCTAATATTATGAAGGCTATAAGATAAGGAATTGTAGACTGAATCTTGAAATCCATACCCTATTTTGGTTGGTGTCAGTGATGATTTTGCTTGAAGAGATGCACTAGGGTGGCCTGCAAAACACATGTAGTCAGGTGTGATATGTATTTTCAATGGTGGTGGGGCTTTGTTTTGTTTTTAGAAACCAAAGCATAGTGTTTCTGAGCAGGAAGGACACCTTCCTACAGCTGTGCTGCCAATGGGAGGTAGGAATCTAATGGTAGGGATATTTCCCGAGGTTTTGCAGATATTTAGGAGAGATAAGGATGTTTAATACTGAAAACAGTTAATTTTCATCATCACTCAGGATTGCATGACTCTCAGAAATGTGATTATAAATTATTATTATTATTATATATTATATATATATCAAAGCAGAAATTATTATTATTATATTATATATATATATCAAAGCAGCACTGTTATCTGAGTTCAGATGTGCTGTTACTGTGGATGCATATTGGCCAAATGCTTTCTAGTTATCACATTATCTAATTTAGCACTTAAATAATATTTTTCTTCCACTTGTGCAATGAATAATATGACTGCTTAGTAAGTCACATATGGTGGCATTTTGCATTTGGATCCTGTGGTATGAAGTTCTAACTTTTTAACCAAGTGAATATCATCCCCTGTACAGATTGACATCTACCATTAATGCCAACACTTAGTGTGTAACGTTGAATAAACCAACTGATGAGTTTAGGTTTCTAACTTTATATTTTACCCTTCCACCCCTGCTTGTTCAGCTTCTTCCTTCCTGTTATTCTTTTCTATGAGGTGTTCATTTAATCCAAAATTCTTACTTGGTTGACAGCACAAAACTTTTACAGAAAACAGTTTTGTTTCTGTCAAAGATTAGACCCGAAGGCTTTAAACACTTGAAGCTCAATTTTGACCTCTAAATGTCAATGAAGTTTAACAGTAATATTTTGGGTATTTTTGAGTCTTAGTTTTGAGCCTTACTCAGTCTGAAAACAAGCTCTGCCTATATATTTATGGAGGGTAGGAAAGACCTATTCTTTCTGAAATAAAAACACAGGAAAACAAATAGGTTTGCAGCACATCTTACTCCGTGTGTTAACAGATGTGCTCTAGTAGCTTTTAAATGAACCTTTCCCAATGCTAAGATGATAAATCAGATAAATGAGTCAAAGAAAAATAAACTTGAAATCCATCAACTGAATCTAGTGTTCAGGCACACAAAATGCCAGTGCATTGGCGTCAAATGGAGGGAATTTTTTAATTCTCCCAAATCCAAATAACAGTGTGGGCCATGTGCTATGTTAGAAGAGTAATGTAAAGTGGGCAAAACTACCTCCCAAACTTCCTGTACCAAAAGATCAGTGGCAGCTCTCTGAATTCTTCAGGTACACAGCATCAGCACAGTTATCAGGCTTTGAGGTGAACACTATGCAAGGTGCTGGAGACTGAAGGTTGCAAACTTAGAGCTCCTAGTTGGAGGGTCTGGAAGCTCTTTAACTCATCCAGTGTGACTCTTTCCCAGGTACTTGCCAACCTAGTTCTGAATCAGGGCAAAACAGATAATTTGTCATTTAGAAAATCACGAAAACCAGCTTTAGGATCGCACTTCTTATATTTATTTATTTTTTGATCCCGAAAGCAGCTGTGCTGTTTGAAGGGTCGGCACTTCCCCTGAAAATGTACCAGATGGATTTCCAGAGCCGGCTTGCCTTCCCAGTGGGGTTATTGCTGTGCTGTGCTCTTCAGACATCTGCTGGTCAGCATCCCGCATCTCACAACTGCTCCAGTGATGCTCAGAGAATACCCTCAGCCACTCCTGTAAGATTGACCTGCCCACGTCCTCCCAGATTAAGGTGGAAGCAGATCCCTTACAGCATGGTGAAGACAGCAGTGGGGTGCAGCTGGATCCTGGAGAGGCTGAGGAAAATGAAGAGCAGAATATAATTTTTAGGCACAACATCTATGTGCACACACCCAAAGGGAACTGTAAAACTTTGACCCACATTAAGGATCTGTTGGAAAGGATGGAGAAGCTTGAGAAGGAAGTGGCAGAGCTGAGGGAAGTTTGCAGCCCTCAGAAGTGCTGTGGGGGAAGCCAAGGTAAGTAAAAATTCTGGTATCCATTCTTACTTCCCAGGCACAGCCTATTCACTGCCAAGATCTGGGGACTTGAATCATTTGTCAATGATATGGGGGGTTCCCCATGAGCAAAATACTTGAGTCCTTCACTTGGGATGGTGACCTGGCTTCTGTGATGTGAGAAGAAATCTGAAGTTCCCAAAATGTGGTACTACAATGACATTTCTGGAACCAGCACAGGGGAAATCTCCCCAGCTATCCTTCAGAAGTGGGAGGGAACACGTTCCTGAGTTTCACGTAGGTGGGAGGATTCAACAGAGGATTTTCTGGTGAACAGGAGGGTTAAAGATGAGGGAGGCACTTCTTGTTGCTGTCTTTTTCTTTCTCAGTTTTGCCTCCAGAATTTAGCCATTGTTGAGAATTTGTCTTTTTCTTTCCTCTTTGCTAAGTGACTAACAGAAGAGCAGAGTTTATAGGATGATGATGATTGCAGTGGCCACTGCCTGGGATCACAGTTCTATACCGCATGGTCTCTAAGAAAAGATTTAACAAACTGGTGGTTTTTGTGGAATGGAGATGGGGAAAGTGTCGTAAGGCAAAAATTGTGTGAACAATTTTCTTTACATTTCTGTGTGTTTCACCTTAGCATGGCTGGGTGCTGATAGTAAAAAATGCTGCGCCACTACTACGGCTGCAGGCCTTGTGCCAAGATGCCAAGGAGGAGTGTCGTGGTTTGAACCTTGTTTTCCCCAGAGGCTAAGAAAAGTGGTAGACCCCGAGGGGTGGAAACCCCTGGAAGTTTTGGAGTTCTGTCCAATGGGC